CGGATGGCTGAGTGTCGTTACCATTGAATTGATACAAAAATAACAATGGAGCTAATATACACCCTTGCTTCGCATCATTATAGGTAGGAACTTTAACAGACAAGTGGCCTTCCTTGTTGCATCTAATTCTGAGCGTTGTATTTTCATGCAGCTTATACATAAGCAACAGAAGGTGTCGATCTATCGTGGAAGACTCTAACTTACTCCAGAGCCTATCTTGTGAAATTAAATCAAAAGCCGATTTAAGATAAATAAAGGCAGCAAATACGGACCCTCGGGGTTTCTAACAGTACTTATCTACTAGGTGCCTTAGAATAAAGGCATGATCCTGTGTAGATCTACCAGATCTAAATCCAGGTTGTTCATCTGCCAAAACACTCTCAGAGTCCATCCAATCTATCAATTTCCAAGATAAATGTCTAGCATAAAGCTTACTAATTATGGGTTGTAAACTGATTGGCCTATAATTAGCTGGATTGTCTTTTTTACCTTTTTTATAAATGGGGATAATAATAGCTGTGCCCCATTCCAATGGCATGTGAGCATTTTGGTCAATATAAGTAAGTGAAAAGGTTTGCCAGAATTGGGGCCCACCATTCACAATTGTTCTTAATGAGTTCAGGAGGAATACCATCACAGCCCGGGGCCTTACCAATTTTCAATTGGTTCACAAGGTCATTTATTTCAGAGATTGATACATGGTGCCATTGTGGTAGATTCATATATAAACGACTCACATGAAATGAGGGATTATCTCTTTTGGCATAAAGCTCATGGAAGTGGGCTTCCCACACTCGAGTGTTAATATAACAGTTCATCCTAACTGAAATTTAGTTCCTAACTGTATTTTATGTCTGAAAAATAGTTATTACTGTATTTTTCTGTGTATAAAATGACACTTTTTCCTAAAAATTCAGGGTTGTTTTATACTCGGAAGTAAGGAGGGAGGGAGGGATCAAAGTGCTTTGATCCCAGTTTCCCCCTCCAGGGTTTGCAAAGAAAATGGAGGGGGAAAGCAATTTTCTTTGCAAAACCTGGAGGGGAAAGCTGCTTTTTGCAATGAAAATGTAGGGGGAAAGCAGGAAATTTTGATTTAGAAAAGTGGGGGGGGGCGTTTATACACGGAACGTCTTATACATGGAAAAATACGGTACATCTGGTTCACAATGGTATGGATGTTTGCATTTTTTAATGTTTTATTTAAAAACATACAACTAAAATTCTGTTGAATACTGTCTTCATAACATATATTGCCACATTCCAGAATAATTGTGTTCAGTCTGGACACACCCTATTTCATCTGATTTTGAAAGCAAAGCAGGGTGAGGTTTTGTTATTACTTGGATAAGATACAATTTATTTATTTATTTA